TCCAGCCAACTAGTGCAGGTCAGTAATTTGGTTCAATGTTTTCTACAGTGCCTGTATACAAATACCCCACCTGAGAAAACAGACAATTTGTTTCTTGGCTTGGAAGCAAAACTGACATAATTAGAGTACCATAAAGGAAATTAAACTTTTTGTTTGTAAATGTCTTTAAAAGAAATATGACAAATTCAGAGAATTACAGATATTCTAACACAATCCAAAAAAGCCAAGCAGTGAAAGTTGGGATGTCATACTAAGAAACCAAGTGTTTCAAGTTGTTACAAATTCTAACATTTAAAATTAAAATCGCATTAAAGCCTCTACTAACCAAAAACAAATACAGAAAAAAAGTCTGCATACAAAAAATTCTGACAACCCAGATTTTCAATCAGTTTCTTGATAAGAAACTGAAACTTCTGCAGCCAAAGTGAAGTGAAAAGTGAAGTGAAGTGTCTCTTTGACTAAGAGACAGCACTCCTCATTAGTAGTACTGTACACAGGAACAAGGATTTCTAAAAATGAATTTTATATATGATAGTGGAAGAGTGATGCAGTCATGATGGTCCAGATTAGACCTGACAAAGAACGACTCCCATTCAAAAGCTTGTTTAACTCTATCCCAACTAGTTGGTCCAGTCAAAGACCTCACCCTAGGAAATCTTTGCCTCTTTTTATATATGGAACATTCAACTGTGTGCGGTATAAACAAAACCCTGCAATTTTCCCTTAGAGAACATGTCTGATAGAGCAGCCTCAAACCATCCTTGATACATCCTTTATTTTCGCTATGAAAAGAAAGAGCCCTATAGCAAATGAGGCAGATATGTATTCTGTGTCTATCTTGTACAACTGCTACCCTTCCTCAATAAAACAATACCTTTCACTTTTCATGTGTAAAGCTGCCATTAACTTTTACCAAGTGATTATCACATTTAAAATAAGCATGGCAGTGTAAAGCAACACTGTAAGGTATAAGGTACATGTTATGCTGAGTACCGCAATTATATATTTTAAGGAGGGGATACCTGAGCACTGGGCTATTAGAGGTGAAATGCCCAACTAGGATTTTATCAAAGGCCATTAGAGACATTAACTAACAGCAAAAGCCAACTATAAGCCTTCGCTAGATTCTTGCTCATTGTCATACTGTTATTTCTAGCCCGGAGGAACTATGACACATAATCAAAATTACCTTGAGAGACTAAGCATATCCTTTAAGCCAGCAGGGAAGGAGCTGAACTGTTATAGACACATGGCAAATAAAGGAGGAGCACAATGCAGGATGCTTTTGCACTGTAATTACAAACCATGGTATGAATGCAGCTGTATTACAGGTGTCCTCTGATGTCTTAGTAATGCAGAACACAGAAGGGGCCTGAACGATGTTCTCACAAGAAGACTGGATGCCAGTGTCCCAGGGCATTTAAGGGGTTGGACAGAATGCCCAGAAGGCTAATTTCTGTGACTAAAAATACAGCTGTCAAGAGAGGAAGGCACTCATTGCCCATAACCTGCACCTTGGAAGGTCTCTGGCACAAGCCTGGGAAAGGTCATGAACAGCAGCAGGAAGTGAGAACTGAAGCGACCTGTGAAAAACTGGCAAGTACTTGACTAAATAAGAGCTACTGCTTCCTGTGAGATCTGTAGCTAATTAGAGCACGTCAGAAATTTCCTTTACACAGTTTAGCGACTCCAACTACACATTCAGTTTGGTTGCGGACCTTGCCAAGTACTGCAGGTGCTCTCAGCTATTTTATGGGACGCCCTGTATAAGAAGTGCCAAGCCACATAGGGGAATTATAGACAGAGCTCTCTCAGTGACTGCGTACCTAGGTGGGTCTGATAGCTTCTATCTGTGCTCAAGATATTCATCCAGCTGGGCACTAAAGCAGGCATGAAGCCTGAAGCTTAAACTAACATGCTGTACAGTGCCAGGACTTTTTGTGCCTATCACTTGCAGCACTGTACTGGCTGGAGAAAAGCTGGGCATGAGGCTACATTACTGATCGGATGGAAGGCCATTATAGCAACACCATAACAGCAGCATGTCCTGAGCAAGGTATTCAATCATTTTAACCAAAATCTGGAAATTAAAGTTTTGTTTTGGGAGTTTGTTTTTGTTTTGTTGAACAAAACAAAAGAAAAATATATCAGCAATGCTCTCTCAATGAGGATTATCATTCTAGGAAAGGAAATAACATCAAGAGAAAGGAACTGCTAAGAAACAGAAGTGCCTGTTGTCGTGCAAAAGTTCTCAAGAACATGAACCCACAGGGTACAGACGGACATAACGCTTAAACTGTTTCAAGAATGTCATCAATTGGGACCTCGCTCACAACTGTCCGTGGACAAAAGCGTTTACGTGTACACTGCTAAGAGTTTTAAGTAGAATCATCACCTTGTGGCAGCAGTGCAAACCTTAAAACACCACCTGGGGATGGTAGAGTACACAAACCATTATGCCATCCAAGGGTCCATGTCCTGAGTTTCCCCAGGCTTCCCCTAGAGGGGGAAGACCACCCAGACTAGGCAAAGGGTTGGAGTGGTGGGGTGCCAGGTGCTGTGTGCCCCACTGAAAGGGGTTGGGTACTCCAAGCCCCACCCCACCAAGAACTCCCCAGCTTTCTCAATCTGGAAAGCAATCTTGACAATTTCACTTCCTTGCTATTTATCCTGTTGTAGGGTCCCAGACTTGATTCAGGGGTTAGAAGTATGTGTGTGTGGGTGGGGAAATTGACAGGTGCTTCTTGCCCCCTGCTTCCAAGTTGCCACCACTGCTCTCTTCCCAACCCATGGCCTATGCCTCAGCTTCCCTATGCACCTCACTTGCACAGCCCATGCCTGTATTTGCTTGCATACTACTTAACTCTGTGTGGTACCCAGCCAGGGGGTGACCAGGTTGGGGGGGGGCGCTTCTTGATTCCAGAGGCTGGGTGCTTTCAGACTTGCC